GAAATTATAAGTTAAAAATAATAATGTACTTTATAACTTCTTCAAAACCATGTATACATTAAGCCATATCATAATAAGATAATGATATAACAGATAGTGATACATTGAGTTGGTAATGCCATTAGATGATTAAGAGACCAGGGATGTGGTACATTTATTGTACTATAAAACATTCTAAAACCATCAAGTTATAATTTAAGACTGATAGGTCTTCAAACACAAAGTTTGGCATTCCAGTAAGGCAGAGAAAACTTTAAAAATAGTTATATTTCCATACTCAGAGAAAGGGTTAGCAAACTTTTTTTTTTTTGGGGGGGGTAAAGGGTTAGATAATAAATGTTTCCAGCTTTGTGGGCTGTATGGTCTCTGCCACATCTCCTTAATTCTACTAYTCTATCAGGAAAGTAGAAATAGGCACTATGTAAACAATGTAGCTGTTCTAATAAAACCCTGTTTGTAAAAAGAATCAGCAAGCCAGATTTGGCCTGTTGGCTGTAGTTAACTCACACTCCTTTAAGTATGCATGGGCATGTTAAGTAGATATAGATGTCTGAATAAGTAAATGGGAGTATATCTAAGTACATTACTTTACCAAATCTGCCTCTCTCTGTAGTCATGACAGCTTCCTGGGTACATGATCAATGCCATCACACTGGTACTATTTAGAACGGTTCTACAGTTGCAGCTTAGATCTCTGTGGTCAATGTCTTGAAATTCTTGTGATATTATCTTGGATGTGTTTTGTCAGCAAAGTCTGATGGGACAATGGAATCTCAGCTCATATGTGTGGTCTCTTTCCCCTATCTCACTTCAAACCTAGGGCAGACCTTACAAATGTGCTCTCTCCAGTTTTTTCTTTCTTTCCTGCCTTTCCCTTGCTACTGATGCTGCCCTCCATCCAGGGTGGGACCAGGTGATGTCAGTGGATGAGGCGTTATGTTCTGTTATTGCCCCTCACAGCAGTCTGGATTTGAGCCTCCCCTTGGGGCAGGGTGATGGCTTGAGTGTGTACACACTGGCACACTATTCCTGTCCCAGGGTGGCAGCACCATACACAATTAGTGGACTCAGTGCAGAACCTCTTGCCTATCCCTGATCCAGGAACTACATGTGTTCCAGGGTAGAGGTTGTAATCTGTGGGGGATCACCTGTCTGATCTCCCTGTAATAGGGAGACTGACTTCCCCCAATTCCTCACTAGAGTATGATGTTTAGGTCCTGTGGCTGCAGGAAACCAGAACCCAGAAACGTATTGGCGGCATATGTGCCTCCTAGTCACAGGGTACCTGCAAGAAGTCTACACTCCCTTACGTGTATCCCTGTACTGGAGAAAACTTGAAATTAAATAGCACATAAAAAACCAAAGGGTTGGCAAAGCTAAGAAGAAAGAAAAGAAGTTTTATATTTTAGTCACTTTAACATCAGTTTYTCCTGCTTTCTAAACAAAGAGCTTTGTATTTTCATTGTGCATCAGGCCCTGATGAAAGATTTGCAGCTATAAAAGATTAGCTTTGAAATTCATTTACCGAAATGGAAACAGACACAGAAAATTCCGCATCCACATTTCTCATTTCAGATCAGTCAACCCCTACAATGCCATGGCTTCCTGCAATAYTTCTAAATATTAACTATTAAGGCTTTAAAATTATGTATTTTGGATTTTAGACTCCAAGGAGCTCCTTTTGGGACGTGATCATGAATTCTGCATGGTAGCCATTTCCTCAAATAGTTTGCGAGTAGAATAATTCATATTCCTTAAGAATAATAAGTAATTTTATAAATATAAAGCAAAGTCAAATGTTATATATGAAATATAATAAACAACAAGTTAAAATTTTACTCACAGCTGCCTTTAAATCCCTTTAAAGAAGACAGTACTGTAGTATTTACATATACAAAACCATGCCTATTTTCCTGATTTGAAAAAAACCTTTTTGAGGCAAAAAATTTTAAACATTAACTGGACATTATTTGATATTAAGGGATCTTCTTTTTAAAAGTAACTTAACCTTTATTTTATTATTTATTTATTTTTATGTGGTGCTGAGGATTGAACCCAGGGCCTCACCTATGCTAGGCAAGGGCTCTACCACTGAGCCACAACCCCAGCTCAACATATTAAAGCATTTGGTTTATTTGCTGAAATAATGCCAGAGTGATTATATTAAAAACATCATTAATTAATGAACACTAAAGTATTTGTGGGCAAAATAACAAATACAGTGTCTGAGATTAAATTTAAATATTTCTGCAAAAAGAACAGGTGGARAAAGAAGACAGGGAAAGAGGAAGTTGGAAAAGAAAATGATGGTGACAAAAGTTGAAGGTGGCAACTATAAACACAAAGGAATTGAGAGAAAAAAATCTGAAATAGAGGAATGGAGTTGGTAAATGATAAACAYAGGTGATGAAAATGCAGGGATTCATTATAATATTCCTTTTGCCCTCATTTGTTTTAAAATTCCCATGAAAGTGTGTGTATGTATACCTGTTGCCTACGAAAAGTTCTGATAAAAATCTAAAAACCAAGTCACAGATTTTTCATTTTCCTCTATACCAAAGGTTTTATTGTTATTGTTGTTGTTGTTGTTGTTGCTGTGTGTGTCTGTGTGCTTGCTTTTTTGGTGTAAGAAACATCTTTTGAGTCTGACAATTCTCTAAGCTCAAAAATACAAAGGAGATAAGAAGGATAATCTGCCCATGGGTTGTGACACAATATAAAAACAGAAAAGAAGAAAGCGGGTGGAAGAAACTGTCATTGTTACTCTCCTAACCTTTCCTTCTAATTATGCCAGAGTCAAGACTCAGGTCACAAGGAAAATTATTTTGGTGGTCAACCATTTGTCCTATTTTGTAGACATTAAAAAAGCTCTTGTTCTCACTACATTCCAATCTCACAGTTTCCTACCTACTTTAAAAACCTATCAAGTGGTCACATTAACTATATGAATAAAATGACTAAATTATAAAGACACCTGTTTGCAAGTTAAGAGATGGTCTTCTTGTTATGCTGAATTATATGATATATAATTTAAAATTAAATATACTTTATATTATTCTAGGTATTTCAGATAAATGCTCAACATGTCCAGCTTTTAAAAGTTAAATGTAAATTTCTCTCTTGAGTGCAGATGGTGGACAAGCAAAATAGCTCTTTGGTCTTACAGACAGAAGGTCAGGTCATGGCTGAAAGACCAAAGAACAATTGCTGCTTTGCTACTCCAAATCATCCATGGAATGAGACACCACTACTCTCTTTTCTAAAACTGTCTATTCAATACAAAATAGTTACAAAGAGTACCTATAAGATTTCCTCACATTCTGTCCCAGAAAAAATGGTAACAAGTACATCACATCACAAATATCTTGCAACTGTTTACAGATTTTATTCCTAGCTAGTGACCTTAGGCATATCTCCATCTAAAAATGTATCACTAAAAATAATTATGAAAATTGTTAATAGTTCACTATTATCAGAAAATGTTTGCAAATGAAAACTTCCATGAAATCCTGCAACTTCAGCCTTTATATTATTACTGGTCAATTAGAATGAAATATAGTGCTAAAGACAAATATTACAAATACTTTTAAACAAGTTATTCATGTATAGGTAATATTTTGCTTGTATTACTCCTTTTTTTGTCCCTCTAAAACATTATTCTGCAATTTAAAATAGCTCAGAGGCTCTTTGCTTCTGTATTTTCCCAGTTAGTCCAAAATATTATGCTGGCAGAATGCCCTATAATATAAAAGGTATTTCATAATGCTAGTAAGTATGTTAATATAACTTGAAAATTATAATACATTAGGAAAGAAAGTTCTCTCTTTCTGACTCAGTAATCCAAGGCCTTCAGTCCCTAATAGAAAGCATTTTCCATTCCACTATCAGGCACGCCCTCAACTGGATGAAATAAAACAGTTGCTTTATTTGTATATGTTAACAATAAAAAATCCTCTAGACATGTAAAACTTGTTCTAACACTTTGATTATAGTGATAAAAAAAGAAGAATTTTATCTTGGTTGTCTACATTTTAATATATTAATAAGAATTTCAGTCATAACTTGAACAATTTTTRTATTATCACTTCCATTTTTAATATTCAATGGTCTTTAGGTCATCTGTAATAAATAGTTAATTGGGCTAAAAGGGAAAATATGATAAAAGCCTTGAGTTAGAAATGTATTTGAAAAAAACTTACTTGGAGCTATATACTTCTGATTTATAGTGATTCCTTTAAGATACTGACAATAAGAACTCAAACTTATTTTTTAATAGAATAAATAAAGCCTGATTTCATTGGATATGAAGAATACAAGTCTTCAATGTCCTTTACTATAACATAAAAATAGAAAATCAAAAGCCAGCTTATTAGAACTGCCTCTCTAAAAACTTTATCCACATGGTCAATTAAAATTGGAGTCTCTGTATGATCTCAACAAAGTTACAACATAAAACATCTGTTCAACTGAAATCGAAGTAAGTGGCACTCCTGCCCAACATTTCTAATTTCACAGTATTTAGGCTTCCTGAGCAAACGATTCATGGTTATCTTAGTTAAAACTGGATTTTCTCTGCCAACAATCAATTTGATTGACATATTTACATATCAACTCATCTCATCTTACAAATTTTAAACTTTTTCATTTAAAATTGGATGCAAGTTGGCATCTTTCAAGAACTTTACGTATATTTTAGGTTCAAACTCTGCATTAGAACATTTCTTAAACTTTTGTAAGTAATAGATACACATATCCAAATGTATATTTATGACCTGTCATATTGGAATTTTATATGCATGCAGTTGTATTCTCACCATTTCATGTGAAAGGTGATAATTTTAGGCAACTATAAATGAACTTCTTTTAATAGTATAAACTGGATCACTGTTTTAGTTAGAAACAATGTAACATAAATAAATAATTTAGGGATAACACCATCAACTTCAGAAAGAATGTTAGTTATAACTTTAATTTCTGCTTATTCTTGTGTCATCTCTTACCTGATCTTTAATTTCAAGATCCCTTTTAGTTTTTGCTCTGTACTCTCTGTGCTCCTTTTCTGCCTCATCTTTCTCCATTTTGGTTTTATTCAACTGAAAACGCATTTCTCCACACACCTGTTAGATTATAAAACCTAAATCAATAGCTGTTGGAATTTTCCAGGCAATGCTTGCAATTAGATCTTTTGCTGCCCCCTAGAGGGCATAGACATAAAATGCAATAGGACTTTTCTAAAACTRACATTTTTAGTAGACTATTCAGTACAGCCTGCTAAGTTTCATATAATTCAGCATAACAAAAAGACCATCTCTTAACTTTATAATGTTTCTTATTAGAATATTCATTATTGCCTGCTATTATTTATAGACAATTCAGGTATATTCGGTTTAACAATTTTAAATTAAAGAAATAGAAGTGCATAAATAATAAATTTAAATAATGTGCTCAAGATTATTTTAGGTAAAATAGCAGTTTTAATAGAATATTATAAATTCAAATGCACAATCATATAACTTTTAGTTAGGTAAAATAAGTAATTAAAACATTTAGCTATATTGTTTACTGAAAAATTTCTGGTTAAATATTCCTTTATATTATAAAAATTTTGTCAAGCTTTGATTTAAGGAAACTTATAAAGGTTTTTCTTTTCTCTCTGCTGATAGACTATAGTCTATTATTGATATTTAGGTGTAAAATACTCAGTATTTAACTTTTTAGATAATATCAATCTTACTATAATAATTGCACAATACTACTCAAGAAATATTTTCTGTCAAAACATACATAAAAGAAAAAATGTACATTTAAATGCAATAACTTTAATACATGGATAAACAATAAGCATACACAGTATCTTAAAAGTGTTGTATATCATTTTTTATAAAATTGTTATTTTTTCCCCTAATTCAAGGTCTCTACAGACATAGAAAAATAGAAAATGAAGCTAGTAGATAAATATAAATAAATTATAGGCATTTTGAGATAATTGAGAATCTGTAGAGAAAGTGATTAAATCACAAGTCTGTCTAATATATAGAGGTTTTTATATATTATAACATATATATAATTATATATGAATACATATATGTGTGTGTGTACGTGTGTGTGTATGTATATACATACACACATATATATATGTGTGTGTGTGTGTGTGTGTGTGTGTGTATAAAATGGTAACACTTGCCTGAAACTTCCATTTGGTATTTCTCCAAAAATAATGATTTTGAAAACTTTAGAAATTAGTTTCATCATTATTGAGTTATTAGAATATACTAAAGTATAAAATATATGGGTATCCTATATTCAAATTTAAAACTAATATAAGTTCAAATTTATACAGATAAGACAAAAAAAAGTCAATAAGCTTTTCCTCAGTGGCACTCAGAAAGATAAAATAGAAAGGAAATWACAAATAAAAAATTTTACTAGAGATTCAGTTGCCATCAATATGTGAGAGCTGCTTCTTCAAAAAATTATAAATTTATAAAAAGCTTTTAATCATAAAACTAAATAAAATTAAAAATTAAGAGTGAATGACAAAAAAATACAGGGTGTTAATTTATTTTCTATTTCAATTCTTTACTATTGTAATCAATTTGGTTTATGTCTATGAATGAAGTGGGAAAAATCTTAAACTGATAATATAAAAAAATAATAATTATACAACCATGATGTTTAAAATCCACCCTTAGCATAAGCTTAATATATAATAAATGTTTAAGCATAAGGTCCCATTATTTTATTCCTTAATGTTTCTTTTAAAGTTTCCTTAATACTTTCAGATTAACATTTGTTATGTTTATCCATAACACTTAAATTTCATCTAAAATAAGTCAACAAATTAAACTGAACCAGAGTTATATTATCTCAGGGTTGAAAGCAATCTCAAGCCTATTTATTCTAATCACTTCTTAGGTTTATGTTCTTTTGGATAGCTCTAGAGCCCAAAACTCATTCTTTACATTACCATTTTCAACAGAAAGTTCTTTCCCTATAAGAAACTGAAAATATTCACCATAGATTTCACCCATAAATCTAATTTACAAATTAAATGTTTTCATTATTTTTACAATTAAGAATTTTAATTATTTCTATGCCTCTCATCAATTGCTTTACYTCCACTCCTATCTCCATACAAACAAATGGAGGTATACTGGCAAATATAAGCTCCTTAAATTTCTACATAAGCTAGTTTGAATTCTAGAAAGCAAATGGAGAATTACAGAAATTAAAGAAAAAAGGGGAAATGGCTCTTTTTAAATATATAAATTAAAATAAATTCTAAATACTGAATTATAAAACAACAATGGCATAACAGTGTGTTAACAATTAAGGAAAATATAGAAAGGTTATGCATTTTAAACAAGTTATCTGTGTATTTTGTGGTGAAAAATAAGTTGATTTATTATATTATGCATACCCATATTTAGTTTCTTAGTTTGAAAGAAACTGACTTGAAATTTTGATGAACTTCTATCAGTTCTTAAAATAGGGATCTTTCTAACCTTATCCAGTTAAGACCCCAAAACAACTTAATTCTGGGTTCAGAAGTTAATGATGCCCATAACACATATGCTGTGAAATCTGAATGTATGAACTTAAATATCAATAAATAAGAACTTGTGATTCAGAATCTCCATTTTGGAAAAATATAGGAGAAATTTTTATGTTAAGTATACTTTTCAAGTTGTAAATGGATATCTTTGAAAATTATTGTGAAAACAAACCTTATGCTCTCTAGACAAACAAACAAACAAAAACACTAATTAATACAAGTTTTATCAAATATTTAATAATTAAAGTAATATAACTCTTATTTATAAGTCTTAACTCTTAAGATTTTTGAGGACATTAGTTATATCTAATTYATCTTGGAATTTGCAGTACCAGAAAAAGGGCTGAATATAGTAAATAAATGTTTGCCAAATGACCATTAAGTAGACTTTTAATATTCTCAAAATAAAAAAATTTCAAGACTTCTTTCTAATAACAAAAAGAGATTTGCACATTAATAAAAAATATTTCAAAGAAAATATTTACTTCTGTAAAAACTAAAATATCTTTTTGTACCTTGGTGGCATCCATTTCCTGAGAAGCAAACTGGGTTTGAATTTCTTCTAGTTGATTAATAGCTGAAATCTTCTCTCTTGTAATTTTTTCCACCTGGGCCTCAAGTTGGGCAATATTCTGAGACAGGATCAACATCTAAAAGAAGAAACAAAAATTCTTTTTTTTTTTTTAGAAAAGAGAGAGGAGAGAGAGGAGAGAGAGAGGAGAGAGAGAGAGAGAAAGAGAGAGAGAGAGAGAGAGAGAGAGAGAGAGAGAGAGAGAGAGAGAGAATTTTAATATTTTTATTTTTTTTTTAGTTTTCGGCGGACACAACATCTTTGTATGTGGTGCTGAGGATTGAATCCTGGCAGCACACATGCCAAGYGAGTGCGCTACTGCTTGAGCCACATCCCCAGCCTAGAAACAAAAATTCTAATAATAAAATAATTTGATAAATAATATTTTATTAATAGAGTCTTGGCATAGCCTCAGAGCTCTGCTTAAGTTATTTCTCTGTAGATTGGGTACATCCACTTCTCTACTTCTTCAAAGTATCCTGGAGTTTAAATATGCATTTCCTTTCTATTCATTTCCCCTTACCTCTTACTTTGTAAGATGTGAAAGATGATAAAAAATTTTTTTGGTTAAAATCCCAAGATGACAGATATCAGACACACCAGTAAGTTATGGAACAGATTTCCATTAACAGATTCAGAGGTGGTATGGTGGAATCAAGCAATTCTCAGGTCCTTCTCCCACATGGAGGGCATAAAAGGAGAGTTAAAGAGGAATATAACTTTAGAGAGAACTATTGACTTCCACTTTCCTCTCCCAAAACCAACAAAGAGGAGGCTTTTTGCAGTTTCTTTTGTTGGTAAAATTCCACCTGCCCTCCCATTTTCTAGCACTCCCCTAACCTTCCCAAAGGATTCAGTTCATCCATTATCTCCTTGCCTTCCGGAAGCCTTCCTTGACCTCCAGTTCTCAGCACAAAATAGGCAATCCTACACATGCTTACTTAAGGTTGCTGTCCAGTCAATGTGCACTGAGATGCTCATGCCTCTTGTTTTTCGACTTGCATCCATTCGCAGACTACTTCCCTTGCTACACTTGTTGTGTAATATTTTGAATGTCACTCTGGTATGTACTCCTACAACAACCTTAGTATATGCACCTTCATCACAGTATTTATATACTGTTTTAAGTTGACTCCTTGTTTCCTCATTAGACTAGAAGTTCCTCAAGGGCACATTCATTAAAAGGAACCATATTTGATGAATGGATAAGAAATTAATGAGAATAAATATCTTTTCCAAGGGACTATCTGAATATTGGTCTTAGATTTTATTCTCAGGATTAAAAATGCTTTCTAGATTTTAGACTTAATTATAGATTTTTGTATATAATTATGTTTTGTTCTGCTCCAGTGAGTCAAACTTCTCTAGTTCTTTGATGAATTAGCAGTTTTAAAATGAAGAAATGCTACCTTAACTCCAGCAAAATAGACGGGGTACTTATGAGTTTTTATATGTTAAAACAAAAACTGGTAATGAGTTGGAAATAATGATACTTGAAACTTAACATTGTACCCTGACATATGTGTGAATTCAGTTCTATAAATGAAATCAATAAGTAAAATTCTATGATTAAAATTCAACATTGAGGGGCTAGAGTTGTAGCTCAGTGGTAGAGTACTTGCCTAGCATGTGTAAGGCACTGGGTTATATCCTTAATAGCACATAAAAATAAATAAATAAAATAAAGGTATTGTGTCCATCTACAACTAAAAAAATATTTTTAAGAAAATCAACACTGAACCAGAGTTTTGATATCTTAGTTTTACTGCAATAAAACTAAGATAGGTGTCTGCCTTTGCATTATTTAAATAGCTAAAGTTGACCCTTAGGAAAATAATGAACCCTGGTAGTTATTTTCAAATTTATGTAGATGAATTAATTAACTTTTCTGAAGATTGTATAGCATTATATATTTGACTTCTGGTTGTTTACATGTCCTTATCAAAAGATAGTCTACAAATCAAATTTACACATAAAATTGGCTTCACTAATAACAATCTATGAAGTATCCTTGAGTATGTTACAATCTGAACCTAAAATTAAAAGTCAAAAGCAGATAAAYGGAACAAATGTATCAATTTAATTTCCTTAATTTAAGAATTCAAGTTAATGACTATTTATATCATGAAATGTGTAATGACATGTTTTTTGGAATCATGTAATAGCAACAAATTTCAATGACCCACTATTTAAAACCACATATTATATATTTATGTGGAGATAAATCTGATGGTAAACATTAACATTGTATAGTTTTGAAGCAAATATGTGGACATTTATTTTTGCCAACTGTAAATTCTGAGTCAGTTTCTATTACAAAGCATGCTAACAAATCTCCCCTTCCTTAGGACTTCTCTCTCTCTGCCACTCATCACTTCTTTCTTCTGCTCACTGTCTTCTGCCTCCTGTCACCCACTTCCTGAGGTTTCCCCTCCTGTTGTCACACCTTCTTTTTCCCCATGCCCACCATCTGGAAGTCAGCATTACACTGCAGGAGCTTCTCCACCCACATCTGTTGCAGAGCCAGAAGTAACACAGACACAGCTGCAACACTGCTGGATGTCCAAGGCATTGACATCAGGTAAGTCCTTTAAACTTTGACAGGGGCAAGGAAGAGACAAGGACACCCCAATTTGGGAGAGCTTAACAAAAAATTTTTGCAAAGCAGTCCCTCGTGTATTGAATAAGTTACAAAATAGAAATTCCCATACCTGAGATACAAGAATTAAAGATTCTAGCAATGGAATATTATCAAGGGAAGCAATTGAGAAACTGTGTGGACCATGGGGTTTGCTCAAGTAAATACATGATGAATGACTGAATGAACAAACAAATCTGAGAGTCAGTCCAACCAAGGACACTCACAGAAAGCAATGTTCATGGGAGAATGATTTAAACCTGTCTATATAGAAGGTACCTGTCCTGTTGGAGCTTCCAACACAATGGAATTTTAAAAGAGAGTGAAAAGAAAAAAAAAAAAAGAAAGAAAGAAAGCCTCTACAAGTCCTTGTAGATCTCAAGTATTTGTACTTTTAGGAAAGCAGGGAGGGCTGCTATGGCACTAACTTTAATTACTCAGCACTTACAATGTTATGTTTAGTTGTCCTACTAYATTATGTTCCTCTGCTAAGCAGTGTCATACATATTCTCTTTCCTTTAAATTCCTTTAGAGAAGAAATCATTATTTTCTTACTTTTTTATTTTTGGAGAAGAAATTTTATTGGATTTTCAGTTTAGCTGAAATGAGATTTAAAACAAAACAAAAAAACTAAGTAACTTACCAAAGCTCATTCAAGAAAAAAACAAAAACCTGGACTTCATTTGTTTTTTAATTAAAATTTTTCTTTTTCTTTTTTTGTACTGGAGATTGAACCCAAGAGTGCTTTACTCGGATCTATATCCCAGCCCTTTTTATTTTTTATTTTGGGACAGGGTATTGCTAAGTTGCCTCACTAAATTGCTAATGCTCACCCTGAACCTGGGATTCTCCTATCTCAGCCTCCTGAGTCACTGGGATTACCAGTATGCACCTCCATGCCTGGCTGGTAARGATAGGCCTTAAATTCAAGTCTATCTACTTTTACTAACATGAAGGTCCAAGAAAGAAGAAAGCCATTCAATAAATCTACTTCTTTCTCAAAATTAAGTATAATAGCCACAAACTAAACTTCATTCAATTCCTACCATAAAACACATTATGATATTTTCAAAATCTCATCTCATTTAATTCCATCAAGCCTTGAGATAAGCATTATCAACCTTTTTCTTTTTTTATATTTATTTTTTAGTTGTAGTTGAATACAATACCTTTATTTCACTTATTTATTATTTTGTGGTGCTGAGGATCAAACCCAGTGCCTCACGCATGCCAGGTAAGCGCGCTACCACTTGAGCCACATCCTCAGCCCATCAACCTTTTTCTTTATTCCTGAAATGTAGAGAGGTTTAAAAATTGCCAAGATCAGAGAAAGCTCAAATTAGGGTTGACTAAATCCTTTTTTCTCCAAAGCTACTTTCCCTGCTGAAAGCATTTAACTCAGTGCTAGGATCAATGTTGGCTCTTTAGTCATACAACCTTTTTAGGATAGGATCTTGATATCAAATGCTGGCCAAAGTTTTCTTGGGGAAAATAAACTTAAATGGCTCAGGTTCCAAAATACACTGTATTTCTKTTATCATTTTTATTCATGAAATAATTGTTAGTCTTAGTATAAAGTTATCTTACATATGAACACACATGGCATATTGCCAGACCCATTTCAGCCTTCCTTCTTCCTTTCTTATCAGGAATTATTATCAAATCAACATACTTTTTGTATAGTAGATGTACCTAGGAAGGCAAGTGGTTTCCACTAAATAATCCTCCAAAAAAAATTTGCCTAGGTATGAACAATAGCTGATCTTTGCTATTGATACCATTCTCACTCATACACAACAGTCGATTCATAACTTAACCTCCCTCCATGCCTTGTGATGACTCTAGCATTTTAGACCTGTCTTTCCAATTGCATGGGAACCCCCACCCTTACATGACATTCATTTATTTATTMATTCAATAAATATATATATTTTAAGCACATTTTAATGTAACAAGAATAAATCAAACAATGAGTATCATACATGAAAGGGGCTCAATAAATTAAGGAAGGCAAAAAATTCAAGAAGAATTTGCAATAAATTGAGTTATGGGAACCCATGCAGAAGATGGCAATAAAGCTTTGGGTGGCCCTGAAAGTAGGTAGTATCAAGAACTCTGAAGGATCAAAGAAGGTAAAGGAAGATTCCTGAAGGCAAGGGACAAAAATACATGCAAAATCCTGAAATGAACAAACAAACATTATGACTGCTTGTTTTCTCATTGGGAAAGTGCAAGGAGGTCTGGATGGTGGGGATGCAAGGAAGAAAAATGAAGGGAGATGAGACTGGAGAGAAAGAATTAAAGTTTTTATGTTATGCTAAGGGAGCCTAAATTTTATTCAGGGTTGTAGGGAGACATAAAGAATTTTGAAGCAAAAGACTGGCACATTGAGAAATTCATTTTAGAAAGATCATTCTAGCTGTGATAAAGAGAACAGATGGGAAGCAGGTGACACTGAAGGCACAGATACAAGATACTGGAGGAACAATCCAAGGGTGACATGGCAATTTAAAATACTTAGGGACCTGAATCTCTAAAACTTGGTGATGAGGTATAAAGGTTGAGGTAGACAGCAGAGACAAGGATGAAAACAAGATTTCTGTTGCACACAACTATAGGAATAGCAGTTCCACTGGGGCAAGGAAGATGGAAAGTAAGCCTGATTTGGGAGCTCGGTAGAAAATGAAAGATTTAGAAATCTATACTATACATGGAATTAAAGCTACAGTAGTGATGAAGACAACTCAATTGATAACTCTCTACTAAACTCTAGAACTTTCTATTAAGCAGCTTTCTGAATGTGCCTCCTTCACTATCTCAAAGTGAAGATAATCATTCTCCCAAATAAAACATGAGTTCAAAGAAATCCAGGAACAAGTATCTTTTAATATGAACTAAAAATTCAGTAAATATAGTACAGGGAGGCAGGTGGTCAATAAGCTTAGCAACAGTATTCTCAAGGACTATGGGTACAAAAGCTGATTTGGAGTGCACTGAAGAGTAAATGGAAAGTAAGAAAATAAAGATGTGTTTGGATAATCTTTCAAGGAACTTAACAATTAAGGGAATGAGTGAGGAGAGATATAGAATTACTAAGGTAGCTTTCACTCTTGGCTGCATATTGGAATAAACTAGGCAACTTAAAAAAAAAATTACTAACCCTGGCAGGTGGTGGTGCACACCTATAATCCCAGCAACTCAGGAGACTGAGGCATGAGGATTGCAAGTTTGAGGCCAGCATCAGTAACTTAGTGAGGCCCTATGAACTGAGCCCTGTGAACTTTCTCAAAAAATATAAAGGGATAGGGATGTAGCTAAATGAGAAGCACTCCTGGGTTCAATTCCCAGTACCCAAACCAACCAACCAACCAACCACCCTTTCTCCCCCCCCCCCAAAAAAAAATTTAACTGGTTTGGTATATTTTGGGCAATGAGATTTTTAGATCTTTTAGAGTAGTAAAGATCGATTAGAATAAAGATTTTTTTCAACAGGTGAGAAAATTTGAGAGTATTTTCCTAATGTTAAGAAAKAAAGAAAAGTTTTAAGACTCAGAAGATAGGGGATAACAAATGGAATAAACTCTTTCAGGTGGGAAAGGGGCTGTGATCTAGGTTAATGGATGATGATAGGATTAAGCCTTGTCCGTCCTGCCATGTTTGGGCTATAGGTGAAAATTTGTTTAATGGCAGAGGTGAGGAAATAAATACTTGGGATGGATATTATCTGATGGTTTCAATTTTATTTATTATTTACTTTATTATTCTTTATTAAAGCTCTCTGCTGAGAATGAAGGAGAAAGTCGTATGGCAGAGAATTTGAGGATAACAAAAGTGATATAGAATGATCATGGAAAAATGAGTACAAGTTATCATTTTCCACCTGGACTACTATAACCTGATCTTTACATCTATTCTGGTTCTCTTTCTAATCTACTGACAAAATGATTTTTTTTTCAAATATAAATGACATCAGAACACTTTCCAATTTAAAGCTATTAAATGGTTTTTCATTACTTTTTGGATAAAATTTAAAATCTCTCACAAGGAATTTAAGGTCATTCAAGATTTGGCCTCTGAACACTTCTCCAAACTCCATGATTCTGTCCCTCATTCCTTAGGTTCCTGTCATCTGGGCATTTCTTAAATTCCTAGAAAGTCCAGTGTTTTTTTTAGCTTCAGAGTCTTTGGTTTATTATTTTCCTGGACCTRAAACTCTTCCCATCAACTCTTCACCTGACCATTCCTTCTTAACCTTTCYAGTATCATTTAAAAATCTTTTCCTTATGAAAATTCTCATGACTGCCCTAGACTAGGTCAGATTCTCCTGCTGCACATTCCCACAGTATTCTATATTGAGCCATTAATGCTTTATAAGAATCATGATTAGAAAGTAATTTATGAAAATATTTGTTTAATGTTTTAAAAAAGTCTAAAAGCTTCATGAGGCAATTTCGCTGGTCCTGCAACTACCACATCCCCAGGCTTTCTAAAATTAATATCTGTTGATTGCTGAAAGAATGGGAAAGAAAGGAATGCATAGGAGGACTAATAGACCCCCAAGTGTGCAAAGTTTCCATCTCTTGTAGGATTTTCATCAGCTGAGATGACCAATCCAAGGTAGAGAGGTAGTCAGTCAGACTGACCTACAGTAAGGGTTTTCTTTTTCTTGTTTTTTTTTTAATACATTTTTTTAGTTGCTGATGGACCTTTACTTTATTTATTTATTTAATTATGGTGCTGAGAATCAAACTTAGTGGCTCACACATGCTAGGCAAGTGCTCTACTWCTGAGCCATAACCCCAGCCCTACAGTAAGGTTTTAACAGACACATTTTTGTTTTATTTCAAAAAAGGATAAGAAGAGAATGGAGTTATAGTAAATGCTTCAATTTATCCAGAAGACTTAAAACTGGTTGGGCAGAAGTTGTGACTTTTCTCTTGTTTTACATAGGACTGTACATTGCCTTGTACACAGCAGATACATAGTAGGTGTTTGCTACATGAGTTAATTATTACACACTGGAGTATTATAGTATTTAGGGCACAAGCTTTGAGTCTACTTAAAAAAATGTAACACWGTTGTTTTGGTTACTTCTTGCTCAATTTTATTACTATAGCAACTTTAAAATTAGGTTCCACTCAACTCTGCATTCCAATTTGTTACTGTTTTTCGAATACTGCACATTTCATGTTATTTGTTCCTTTTGCCTACAATTTCTCCCTTCCAGTTAGTTATTCATCTGGTTATGGTCATTATTGGTCATGTAGTTTTTCAGAACTGATTTCATACAATTTGTATAATCACTTTTTATTGATTACATTGTTTCTTACAAATTTTATCTTATGTTTAATTTGGTATAGGGGATAAAAAGGGGAGTCATTTCTCCTTAATTTAGGCAAGGTTGAAATAAAAGCTGGTATTTTTGGAGCACTTGATCTCCTTTAAAAAACATGAGGGACAAGCTGAATGGCAGAATATGGAAGTAAATTGATTATTTTATTTGAAAAGGTCAGAGATTAATTTCATTGAGAAATATGAAGAAAAAATAAAACATTTTAATGAGCTCTTAAAATATAAGAAATTTACTTACAAAGGTTTTTAAGAACTATGTAATGTTTTGAACAACCAACAATAAAAAAAGAAAAAAAGAAAAGAAAAAAAAATCTTCCTTACAAGTCAAAAAAAAAAAAGGGTTTTAATATTTAAAGCCCATTCAAGAATGGTAGCCTAAAGGCACATCAACACTAACATTTTTTTCAGCAGTGGGCATAACAACTCAAGTACCTTTGATTCCATGTCCTCCCTTTCTTTCGTTATTTCTTTTTTCATCATCTCTTTCTCAAAGGCCCTTTTCTCCTGCTGAGATGCAAGTTCTTTTTCAAGCCTTTCTGTCTGCCTTTCCAGTTCATTCTTCAACTGCTCACACTGGATTAGAGCCTGTCAGAATAAGAGAGTAACATGGGAGGTAGCATTTAGAAAAAAAATACAGAAAGAAAAGAGTCATTTAAGTTTTACTTTTACTTAAAGTAGTTAAAATTTACTATAAAGTTCATTAGAATAACTTTGTGTTTATTGACACCACTTACTGATCTAAAATAGTATGCAAATGTTACATTTACTCAGATATTTCAATATTCACAATTATGGCTGATCAACTAGAAAATTCAGGTAACAGACCTTGATGAGGGCCACAGATGAGTCAGAATTTGAAAACATGGATCAGAAAAACCAAGTTTTAGAATTTTAAATTATATATCATGTTAATATTATATAATTATATAAATTTTACTAATTTCTGATTTCCTTGTTAAAAATTTCAATATTTTAAATGACAAATGGATATACAATTTAAAATGAGATGTTAAATACTGTATTTCATGACACACAGACATCTATTGTTTAACACTATATTAATAGTTTTCTTAACTATAACTAAAATTTAGTTCATTACCCTTAAACATACAACTAATGTAAATATTAGTTAATAATCAAAAGTTAAAATAGGGAAAGAGTCAAAACTGAATTTACTACTTAATGATAATTGTCACCATAAGTGTCCTTTAGTCTAAATTTCTCATTATATTTCCAGAAATAAAAAGTTCCTAATTTCCTTTTGGCTACATTTATAACACCTGTATGGATAACACCCAATAATAAAATATGACTTCAAAATCACAATTTTTTAAAACCCCAATAAAATTAAGGTTCTAATTTATCTTGGTCTTATCCCAGTTGCTCTTATCTATAAAATCTACTTCATCCAATCTTTATTTTCCCCTGAATTTGTTAAAAGAAACCCAAGGGGCCTCATATGCACAAAGCCCTGGGTTCAGTCCCCAGCACCACAAAAACAACAGCAGCAACAACAACAACAACAAAAAGAAACCCAAGTCTTTTATGGTTACTGGGTGATTATAAATTTAATAGTCCCATTTGTTGGTAGTGGAAATAGATATAGTTACAGCATATGCTGTAAGTTTTATGCATTATTATACTTCCCTCTGGTGAAAGCTATAATAAATACAGACAATAAATATCTAGGGGCTGGGGGCAATGACTCATGCTGTTAATCCCAGCTACTCAGGAAGAGGGGCAGGAGGATTTCAAGTTCCCAAACTAGTCTTGGCAATTTAGCAAGACCCTGTCTCAAAGAAAAAAAAAAATTAAGAAGGTTGGGGCAATTGTTCACTGGTAGAGTGCCCCTGGGTTCTAGTCCCATAACTGCAAAAAAGGAAAATCAATCAATCAATCAATCAATCTAGGATACATGAATTTTTCTTTCTTCATCTAAAAAGCAATAAGCTTTTTTTTTGGGGGGGGTGGGGCCGGACCAGGGGGATCTTTTCTTGAACATTTCTGACTTGTAGTTATAAAGTATGAGGGTAAGTTTAACTGTGTCAGATTAATGCGGGGGGGGGGGGAATAACTATAAAATGATTACTGTAGGGAGTTAGTCCCAAGCTAAATTCTAGTTCAGAATGCCTGGGAATGGAAATTTTAAAAGAAATGAAAAAGCATAGTATTTCCATAATTAAAGCACTTGGAGCTTTGAAATATGAATTAGTAACTTTTGTGCTTCAAAATATAATTGTGTTTATAAAAACATTTTATATGAATTAATGCAAATGACTATAACTTTTTGCTGACATAATGTATATAAATTAATMAAATAATTATTGAATATAAATAAATATATCCAATTTAGGTAGGATGAAACACACACACACTATACAAAAGAAGGAAAAAGAGACCATAGCTACAAAGCTAAAAGCAACATGATTTTAGAGTTACTCCCCAGACCTATTTTTCCTCTAAGCTGGTCAAATTCCTAAGAAATCTACAAATTTCTCAAATTCCTAAGAAATCTACAAATCTTAGTGTTAATATGAATTCACTCATCTATGCAAATTGCCTTATTTTGATTTAAGCTTATATGCCTGTAAAGCCTATACAACATGTTTTAAGATTAGATAAAACAAAGGGAGATATATTTTAAGAAACTATAAAATAGGCACATTCCAAATGTTATTTATTAGCCAGATGGAGGAGACAATGTCAACCTGAAGATCCTGGAGAGGACCAGACCACCATAAATTTCTTGTGATCTATGATTAAAGAACTGAGTTCACTAGGCTGGTGTCATTCTTCCATTTCATCTTATGCCCACTCCTCACAAAGTTTCCTTTAAAAGAAGAACCCTAGATCCCCAAAGTGCATCTCACTTTGGAACACCCACACCCTTTCTTCCTTACTCTACTGCTTTCTTTCACTAAATAAACCTGTCAGTGACATCCTATCTGATACATCCTGAAATTCTTTTCTGTGGAAAATATTAAGAATCTACATGGACCAAGTTGAGGTCCCCTTTTCCTCTTTGGAAGGGGCCTGTTAGGACCCCCTCTCGTGACACAATCAGAAGGTTTTCAATTGAATAAAAATTAATGAAATACAAGAACAGTAGAGCAGATTGCTGAAAACCTAAAACCCAAGCTAACCTGAAGAACAACTAAAGAAAGAATTCAAAGAATTCAATCRGTTCAGGAACAAGGAAGAACAAATGATCATTATAGAGAGACCAAATGCCTAGATAAGGTGATTTAGCAAAAAGTACAAAGTACAATGTTATAAATCACATAAATAAAAACATTGCCAAAGTCTTGTTTTGTGAATGGTCTCTTTCTTTCAAGGATAAGCCAACAGTAATAATGGGTYATGATGAGTATGAAAAGAACAATGAAATACTGAATAAAACTGTTAGGTTGAAAACTGGTTATTGGTGTTTATTGGTGTCTAACCAATGATCCATGTTATAAAATAGCTTTTAATTTTATTTGCTTTGATTTTAAAATTTATGCTTGGTCACAATGAAGAAAATATTAAGTGTTAGTAACACTTGGAAGTAGAAAGTTGATTTAATCTTTCTTAAAATGTCCTTTCTAACAGTGTACCTCATTAAAAGACTGTGTCTTCTAAACAAATATTCATTGATATTTTCACTGCAGTTCTCTCTTTTAATTCTGGGGCTCCCTCACTTATCTTCCAGAACCCTAGCTTATTTGGTATCTCCTGATTACACTCATATAACTTTTTCACTAAAGACATAAGTGATTTCTCAAAGGCTATGTCAGTAAGCTTGCAATTAAAATTAAATGACAGATCTTCACAGATGATCAAGTTAATGTGCAGCTTGTGCTGCCATTTCTCCCAGCAATCTTTTTTTCCCTGAAGCATATTTTTTTAATATCTATTTTTTAGTTGTCGTTGGACACAATACCTTTATTTTATTTATGTATTTATTTTTATTTATGTATTTATTTTTAGATGAACAGAATACCTTTATTTTTCTTTCTTTCTTTATTTTTTGCTGTTATTTGTGTTCTTTCTTTTTTTTTATTGGTTGTTCAAAACATTACAAAGCTCATGATACATCATCTTTCATACATTTGACTCAGTTGGGTTATGAACTCCCATTTTTACCCCAAATACAAATTGCAGAATCACATCGGTTACACACTCACATTTTTACATAATGGCATATTAGTGACTGTTGTATTCTGCTGCCTTTCCTATCCCCTACTGTCCCCCCTCCCCTCCCCTCCCACCTTCCCTCTCT